CAGGAGCTTGCCTGGTCCAGGAGCTTGCTAGGTCCAGGAGCTTACTTGGTCCAGGAGCTTGCCGGATCTAGGAGCTTACTTGGTCCAGGAGCTTGCCTGGTCCAGGAGCTTACTTGGTCCAGGAGCTTTCCTGGTCCAAGAGCTTGCCTGGTCCAGAAGCGTGCCTGGTCCACGAGCTTGCCTGGTCCAAGAGCGTGCCTAATCCAGGAGCATGCCTGGTCCACGAGCATGCCTGGTCCTGGAGCTTGCGTGGTCCAGGAGCTTGCCTCGTCCACGAGCTTGCCTGGTCCAAGAGCGTGCCTGGTCCAGGAGCGTGCCTGGTCCACGAGCGTGCCTGGTCCAGTAGCTTCCGTGATCCAGGAGCTTGCCTGGTCCAAGAGCTTGCCTGGTTCACGAGCCTGCCTGGTCCAAGAGCTTACCTGGTCCACGAGCTTGCCTGGTCCGAGAGCTTGCGTGGTCCAGGAGCTTGCCGGGTCTAGGAGCTTGCCTGTGTCGGAGTGTGTGACCCTCATCAGTACTTGCTCTTCTTCCTGTTGTTCTTCTTCAACCCTCCCATCTCTGTGCTGCCTTGCCTCAGTCACTCACCCATCTCACAGCCTGCTCATCCTCCCAGATATCAGCCGGCCCCTTGCTTCTCCTGGCCCCGCTCAGCTCCACCTGTCTGGCCAGCAGCGCAAGGGTCACTGCTGGCTCTAGCGGTGGGGGGTTACGGGAGAGGCCGTCCACATGCTGCAAGGTTTTTCCTGGCCTGTGCTTGATTTTGAAGTCATGCTCCTGCAGCTTCATTGCCCATTGTGCATTCCTGCCTGTTAACCCTGGTGTCGTCATCAGCCATGTCAGTGGCTGGTGGTCCGTCACCAGGGTGAACTCCCGCCCCTGCAACTAGACCCTGAAGTGCCCCACAGCCCATACTGCCGCTAGTCCCTCCCCTGTGTACGAGCTGTACTGTGCCTCCGCCGAGTTGCAGCTCCTACTCGCGTAGGCCACCACCTTCTCATCCCCTTCCACCTCCTGGCAGAGTATCCCGCCCATCCCTTGGCTGCTCCAGTCGGTGTAGAGGGTGAAGGGTTGGTCCGCTGCTGGCAGCTGCAAGACGGTTGCCGTTTTCAGCGCCGCCATCAGGTCCTGCAATGCCCCCTTCTGCGCTTCCCCCCACTCCCATGTCCTGTCCTCCCTTAACAGTCCGTTCAACACCGCTGCCCGCCTGCTGAAGTTGGGCACAAATCGCCGGTAGTAACTCAGAAACCCCAACACCGCTCTCAGCCCTGTCTTGTCCTTTGGTTCTCGCAGCCTATCCAGCACCTCCACCTTTGCTTGCTGGATCCCGATCTGCCCCCCCTTCACCTCGTAGCCCAGATACTGAACGGTCTGCTCACCCCACCTACACTTCTTCGGGTGACACGTGAGTCCCGCTGCTTCTATTGCTGCCAGTGTCTTCTCCACATCTTGCAGGTGCTGCTGTTCGGAGGTGCTGAAGATCACCACGTCATCTATGTAGCACGCTGCACATTCTACGTCCCTCAGCACTGCATCCATGACTCTCTGAAACACTGCTGATGCGTTCCTCAGCCTGAATGGCATGTAAAGCCACTCGTACAGCCCATCCGGCCCGTGAAATGCCGTCTTCCTAACGTCCTCCTCCCTGATTTTTATCTGATTGAACCCCTGCCGCAGGTCCAGCGTCGTGAAGAACACCCCCTCTGCTAACTTGTCAAATATCTCTTCCGCCATCGGCATTGGGTACCTGTCCGCCACGGTAATCTTGTTGAGCGCTCGGTAATCTCCGCACATCCTCCTGCTCAGGATCTCTCCTGTTAAGTCCTTCCTCGCTGCCACCACTGTTGGTGTGGCGTATTCTGATTCTGAGCGCCGGATCAGTCCGGCCGCCAACAGCTCCTTAATCTTCTCCTTGCATATCTCTTCATCTCCGTGCGGCATCTTCCTACGCCGTTGGAACACCGGCTCCGTGCTGCTCAGTTTCAGCTCCATCTCCTTCATTTTGCACCTTCCCAGTTCTTGCAGTGTGAAGGCAAAGCACTTCCTGTGCTTGGCCAGCAGTCCCCGCATGGCTTCTCTTCCCTCTTCACTCATCGCTTCCCCCACTGTCCACTTCTCTCCCTCCTCCTCCTGGCAGGTCCATGCTCCTTGTGGGGCTGCTGCTGCCGCCCCCTTATCTGCCTCTTGCCCCCCACCCAAGACCATCTCTCGCCACATCCTCTGCACCAGCCACCTCATCATGTAGCCATCCATGGCATTCCCCATTGCCCTCCTCCTGTCTTCCTCGCTCACCCCTGGTGCTGCCGTCACGTTTTCTCCATATCCCATAGCCAGCTCCCTCTCTAATGCCGTCGGTTCCTCCCACCGTCCCCGCTTGTGGTCATATATCAGCTTGGGTCCGGGCTCCCCCTTTTCCCACCTGTAGCCTGCTGCCTCTGCAAAAGCAACCAAGGTGGGCAGAGCCCTCCTGTCCTGCCCCACCTGGTTGCACGGGTAGTGCCTGCTGTAACTTCTTTGACAAACTGGCGCGGGAGTCCGTCCCGGCTCCAGGATGTCCACCACCCTCCTCCCTGTAGCCCTCCTCATCCCCTCTGCTTCCTCCTGCAGATCCAGCACAGGAACCACGTTTTGCCAGTACATCCTGAGGCGGTGAGCGTACGACCCTGCCCTGGCTGCATCACAGCTCATCCCTTTTCCCACGTGCCGGCCAATCCTCTCCCTCACCAGCCGAATCGGCTCTCTACAATCCCCTTCTAGATCCAGGTTCTCCAGCAAGTAGGCCACTCTGCCCTGCCTCTCCTGCAGCCACTCCAGGATGTCGAACAGGTTGTCCATCAGCTTCGTCCTCGGGTCCTCCCCTCCCTTCCCTTTTCCCGCCCATGACACCCCTTGACACTCCCATCCTGCCACCAGCAGGTCCACCTGCCCCCAGCTGGCCACCTGCTCCTCTGTGATCTGACTCACATCGTGCACCGTACTGCTCATGGCTTCCTGAATTACTTTCTCACTCAGGAGATCCGGGAACTCAGCTCTCAGCTTCCGCGCGTGATGCTCAGCCATCCTTCTCACCTGTGGTGCCAGCTCCACATAGACCCACTGCTGCACCGCAATCCCACTCCTCACTGCTGCCGCCAGCCCTGCCCCGATTCCTCCGAACAACTCTACTAGCCGGATGGGCTGCTGCCAATCGCTATACTGCCCCGGCTTGTCCATTAGTTTCATCCTGGGCCCCTCCCTGGTCTCTGCTGCTCCTCTCTGCCCCTTTTGTGCCCCTCCTGCTCCGACCTGATAGGCCCGCTTCGGCTCCACCCTTACAAACTGCACTGGCAGCTGCCCCAATGGTCCCTCCTTCTTCCAGTATCTCGTTCGGAACTCCACCTTCTCCATCCAGGTACATATGCTCATGCCTACAGCGAACACCAATTCCGTCCCCATCAGCAGATCAAAGTCCTCGGACTCCGAGATTCCGCACTTCATCCTGATCCTTGTTTCATGCTCCCCTCCTGGCAGCAGTGTCAACTCTATGGGGGTCCGGGTGCACGGCATCCACTTTGGTTCCCCTCCCTCTGTTGTCATGACTAACATCCCCTTCGCCACGTGCCTCTCAGGGGCCATCAGCCCCAACCGTTCGGCCATCCCCTTACCCAGCATCACGCTCTGTGCTCCTGTGTCAATGATCGCCGTTTTTACCTTCACCCCCCCCACTTCCACCGCTCCTGCTTCCACGAGCAGCACCGAGGTCTGGCACGCGAGTCTTTCCTGCGGGTGGCGGGCTGGGGTCTTCTCTCCTCCTGGCGCGTCTGGCCTGGACCCCTGCTCACGTGGCTTCCGGCTATGCTCCTGCCTGCCATCCTTCCCCCCGCTACGCAGCCCCACCTGTTCCCTGCCTCTCCAGGCCATGAGGGCACACTGCACGTCCGGCTCCACCCCTTCTCCCTCCTCGTCCCTGGCATACATCCCCGCCTCCGCTCCCCACCCTGACCCCATGGCCTGCAGTTGAGACTGCACCCTGCTGATCTGCTGCTGCAGCTCCTCTGGTTTCCTCCTTGTCCCTCCCTCCCGCTGGTAACACTCTTTGGCCTCGTGCCCCTTCTTCCCGCAGATTTCACACTTCGCCGCATCCGGACATTCTCGTTTCCGGTGCCCGGGCTTCCCACATCCATCACAGTTTTTGCACTCTCTGCGGAGGTGCCCCATCTGTCCACACCGGTAGCAGGTGTGCGCATCGGCTCTCTCTTCCCCGTGTGGGTCCACCCTCCCCCGCTCCTCTGGTATCATAGCCGCCGCCCATGTCGGTCTGCGGCTCTTCTCTGTCGGCCTCGGCAGGTAGACCTCATACCTCCTTTGTGCCAGCTCCACCCTTTCCGCCAGGTCAAACACCTCCTCTAGTGCCGCATCCGCCCCTAACTCGTACACCTTCATCCTCAGTCCTCCCCCCAGTGTTTCGTCCAGGCCTCCAAGAAACTTACTGATGAGGAGGCTGCTGTCCGAACATTTCACATCCTCCGCCAAGTTTATCAGTCGGTTGTAGTAGGTCAGTAGGGATTCTGTTGGTCCCCTCCTGAACTCCTGAAACTCCCTCACGCGCTCCGCCGTGTGTCCCGGGAATTGACGCTGAAGCCGCTCCAGAAATGCCTCGGTGGGATCCTCCCCGTACCTCCCTGCCCTCCACAGCAGCTCGTCCATCCTCATGCGGTACAGGGTCTCCGCCTCTCCCTCCAGAGTGTTGGGCAGGCTCAAGAAGAAGTCTATTGGGTCCATGCCTTGCCTGTCACAGCGGTATCTCACGTTCCCCACCTGCATCAAGTAATTCTTGAGGGCCGGCCCCACCCTTTGGTCCCCCGAGAACCTCGCCGGCACTTCCACCCGCGTTGCGCTGGCTGTACTTCCCCACCCTTCTCCCCGCGATTCCCTGGCCCCTTCCAGCCGCTCTTCCCCAATCCTTCTCTCCTTGGCCCTCTCCATGCCTTCCCTGGCCTCTCGGGCCCGCTCAGCGCCATATGCTAAGCTCCCCCCTCCAGCTCTGCTCTCCCGCCGATTCCAGCCCGAGTCACCGTGCCTTTCTCTCGGGCCCCTCTCCTCCCACGCACGCCCTCGCGTTCGTGCCGGCGAGACTCGTGTCTCTCTCCATCTCGCCGTGCTCGTCTCTCGCTGCCGCTGCTTCTCTGGCGACGGTTCCCATGCTTCTCCCCTTCCTTGCTGCCGACGATCTCCGGGCGAGCGCCTGTCTCCGCCGCCTTCTCTTCCCCGCTGCTGCCGGGCGAGAGGCGAGCGGAACCCGCTGCTCACCCTCCTTTCCCATTGCGCTTGCGGGCCTGACGTCCGTGCCTCCCCGCCGCGCCCTTCTTGCCGCTGGCCGCGCCTCTCTGATGAGCTGGGCCCCTCCTCGCGTCCTTCTTCCCGCCGCCAGTGGTGGCTGGCTGCGCGTGGCTCGCCCTCCCATCCTCCCTTATGCATCAGCTGCCTGTCCGGCGATCGTTCGCCGTCTTCGCCCCGGCCCCCTTGAGCCTGGCGCCAGTCGAGTGCGCGGGGGTCAACAGAAGGCCGCTCCCGGCGCCGCGATCCTTCCCCTGACGCGCGCGGTCCCTCTTCCTCCCTTTTGCCGCGTTCTCCTTGCGTCCCCGCAGCGCCGGCATGCACGCCCCAGTCCCGCCGCTCCTGCTGATGTGACCTCTCCGCGTAATGCTCCTCCTGGCGGCTTGCGTCGTGGTCGCGTGATTCCGACCGTCCCGACCGCGATCCTTCTGCCCCTGCCTGGCTTGCGCCCCCGGCAACGTACGCCCCTTCCGGCTCGGCGTTTCCGATCCCAGCGGCGGGTTCCTCGCCGTCATCTTCTCCGTCGGCGTCTTCGACCGCTCGTTCCAGGTTCGCTGCGTCCTCCTCTGCCTCTTCCTCTTCTGCGGCCTCCCCTCCTCGGTTGGCGTCGAATCGCTCGACGCCCGGCCAACGGCCCCTCTCATCACGGCGGCGCCCGTGCTCTTCCAGCGAGCGGAACACTCCCACAGCGCGCCGGTCTCCGCTCCCGTATCCATCTCCGCGATCATGCCCTCTTCGCCACACGTCGCCGTCCGCGCTTGCGGCGTCTCCTTCTCCACCCGCTGCCACGCTAGGCCTCCCTTCCGCCCGTCGATCCCCAGCGACGGGGACTCTATCTGCGCGAAATGCCGGCCTTCGCGGCGAGCGCTCCAGAGATCGCCCGCGCTCGCGTGACGGCTCACCTCGTGCTCGTTCCTCCTCCCGGCGACAAAACACCCTACCCCAACGCAGCTCATATTTATCCATGCCTGCGACTCGATGCCTATTGTTCGGTATGTACGTAATCACTCCCCCACCGCACCGGTTCCTTCTTAGTGCTGTGCCACCGCGTGTAGTAGCTAGGATAGCCGCTCTGCACTAGTATGAAAGAATACCGAACAATAGGCATCGAGTGAGTGGGCGTGGGTGACCTTACCCAACCTCGGCTTGCACATTTCCAATGTGCGGCTCGAGGTTGGGATTTGTTCGAATCCCACATTTCGCCCTTCGGTGCCTTTCCCCCTTTATCCCAACCGCTCCCACATATTTCCCCCTTTTTGCACCCCTTTGCAACCGACACTTCGCTACTGGCTACACCTCCTACACTACTTCTTATCTATCTACCTCAATGCATTCTTAGCTATTTGCTATACTGCTTCACAGCACCGCACTCTACTGTTATTGCATATGCATCCCTTGCATATGCGGTGACACCTGGTCCAGGAGCTTGCCTGGTCCAGGAGCGTGCCTGCTCCACGAGTTTGCCTGGTCCAGGAGCTTGCCTGGTTCAGGAGCTTGCTTGGTCTAGGAGCTGGCCTTGTCCAGGAGCGTGCCTGGTCCAGGAGCTTGCCTGGTCAGGAGCTTACTTGGTCCAGGAGCTTGCCTAGTCCAGGAGCTTTCCTAGTCCAGGAGCGTGCCTGGTCCACGAGTTTGCCTCCAAGAGCTTGCCTGGTCCAGGAGCTTGCCTTGTTTAGGAGCTTGCCTGGTCCAAGAGCTTGCCTGGTGCAGGAGCGTGCCTGGTCCACGAGTTTGCCTGGTCCAAGAGCTTGCCTGGTCCACGAGCATGCCTGGTCAAGGAGCTTGCCTGGTCCAGGAGCTTGCCTGGTCTAGGAGCTTGCCTGGTCTAGGAGCTTGCTTGGTCCAGGAGCTTGCTTGGTCTAGGAGCTTGCGTTGTCTAGGAGCTTACCTGGTCTAGGAGCTTGCCTGGTCCACGAGTTTGCCTGGTCTAGGACCTTGCCTAGTCCATGAGCTTGCCTGGTCCAGGAGCTTGCCTGGTCCAGGAGCTTGACTAGTCCAAGAGCTTGCCTGGTCCAGGAGCTTGCCTCGTCTAGGAGCTTGCCTGGTCCACGAGCTTGCTTGGTCCAGGAGCGTGCCTGGTCCACGAGTTTGCCTGGTCACGAGCTTGCCTGGTCCAAGAGCTTGCCTTGTCTAGGAGCTTGCCTGGTCCAGGAGCGTGCCTGGTCCAGGAGATTGCCTCGTCCATGAGCTTGCCCGGTCCAGGAGCTTGCCTGGTCCAAGAGCTTGCTTGGTCCCAGAGCTTGCCTTGTCCAGGAGCTTGCCAGGTCAAGGAGCTTGCCTGGTCTAGGCGCTTGCCTGGTCCTCGAGTTTGCCTGGTCCAGGAGCTTGCCTAGTCCAGGTTCTTGCCTGGTATAGGAGCTTGCCTAGTCCAGTAGCTTGCCTGGTCCAGGAGCTTGCCTGGACCACGAGCTTGCCTGTTCCACGAGCATGCCTGGTCCACGAGCTTGCCTGGTCCACGAGCTTGCCTGGTCCACGAGCTTGCCTGGTTCACGAGCTTGCCTGGTCAAGCAGCTTGCCTGGTCCAGAAGCTTGCCTGGTACACGAGCTTGCCTGGTCCAGGAGCTTGCGTGGTCCACGAGCTTGCCTGGTCTAGGAGCTTGCCTGGTCCAAGAGCTTGCCTGGTCCAAGAGCTTGCGTGGTCCAGGAGCTTGCCTGGTCCAGAAGCTTGCCTGGTTCAGGAGCGTGCGTGGTCCATGAGCTTGCCTGGTCCAGGAGCTTGCCTGGTCAAGGAACTTGCCTGGTCTAGGAGCTTGCCTGGTCACGGAGCTTGCCTGGTTTACGAGCTTGCCTGGTCCAGGAGCTTGCCTGGTCCAACAGCTTGCCTGGTCCATGAGCTTGTGTGGTCCAAGAGCTTGCCTGGTCCAGAAGCTTGCCTGGTTCAGGAGCTTGCGTGGTCCACGAGCTTGCCTGGTCTAGGAGCTTGCCTGGTCCAGGACCTTGCTTGGTCTAGGAGCTTGCCTGGTCACGGAGCTTGCCTGGTCTAGGAGCTTGCATGGTCTAGGAGCTTCCCTCGTCCAGGAGCTTGCTTGTTCTAGGAGCGTGCCTGGTCAAGGAGCTTGCCTGGTCCAGAAGCTTGTCTGGTTCAGGAGCTTGCCTGGTCCACGAGCTTGCCTGGTCTAGGAGCGTGCCTGGTCGAGGAGCGTGCTTGGTCCTGGAGCTTGCCTAGTCCAGGAGCTTGCCTGGTCCAGGAGCTTGCGTGGTCCAGGAGTGTGCCAAGTCCAGGAGCTTGCCTGGTCCAGGAGCTTGACTGGTCCAAGAGCATGCCTGGTCCAGGAGCTTGCCTGGTCGAGGAGCTTGCCTTGTCCTGGAGCTTGTCTGGTCCGGAAGCTTGCCTGGTCAAGGAGCTTGTTTGGTCCAGGAGCTTTCTTGGTGCAGGAGCTTGCCGGGTCCAAGAGCTTGCCTGGTCCAGGAGCGTGCTTGTTCCAGGAGCGTGCCTGGTCTAGGAGCTTGCCTGGACTAGGAGCATGCTTGGTCAACGAGCGTGACTGGTCCAGGAACCTTGCCTGGTCTAGGAGCTTGCTTGGTCCAGGAGCGTGCCTGGTTCAAAAGCTTGCCTGGTCCAGGAGCTTGCCTGGTCCAAGAGCTTGACTGGTCCAGGAGCGTGCCTGGTTCACGAACTTGCCTAGTCGAGGAGCTTGCCTGGTCTAGGAGCTTGCCTAGTCCAAGAGCTTGCCTGGTCAAAGAGCTTGCGTGGTCCAGGAGCTTGCGTGGTCCTGGAGCTTGCGTGGCCCAGGAGCGTGCCTCGTCCACGAGCTTGCCTGGTCGAGGAGCTTGCTTGATCCACGACCTTGCCTGGTCTAGGAGCTTGCCTGGTCCAGGAGCGTGCCTGATCCAGGAGCTTGCTTAATCCAGGAGCTTGCCTGGTCCAGGAGCTTGCCTGGTCCAAGATCTTGCCTGGTCCAGGAGCGTGCCTGGTCCACGAGTTTGCCTGGTCGAGGAGCTTGCGTGGTCCAGGAGCATGCCTAGTCCAAGAGCTTGCCTGGTCCACTAGCTTGCGTGGTCCAGGAGCTTGCCTGATCCAGCAGCTTGCCTGGTCCAGCAACTTGCCTAGTCTAGGATCTTGCCTGGTCCAGGATCCTGCCTGGTCCAGGAGCTTGCCTGGTCCAGGAGCTTGCCTCGTCTAGGAGCTTGCCTGGTCCCGGTGTGTGCCTAGTCCAGGAGCTTGCCTGGTCCAGGAGCTTGCCTGGTCCAGGAGCTTGCCTGGTCCAGGAGCGTGCCTAGTCCACGAGCGTGCCTGGTCCACGAGCTTGCCTGGTCCAAGAGCGTGCCTGGTCCACGAGCGTGCCTGGTCCAGGAGCTTTCCTAGTCCAGGAGCTTGCCTGGTCCAGGAGCGTGCATGGTCCACAAGCGTTCCTGGTCCAGGAGCTTGCTTGGTCCAAGAGCTTGCCTGGTCCACGAGCTTGCCTGGTCCAGGAGTGTGCCTGGTCCACAAGCGTGCCTGGTCCAAGAGCTTGCGTGGTCCAGGAGCGTGCCTGGTCCTCGAGCGTGCCTGGTCCAGGAGCTTGCTTGGTCCAGGAGCTTGCCTGGTCCACAAGCTTGCCTGGCCCAGGAGCTTGCCTGGTCCAAGAGAATGCCTGGTCAAGGAGCGTGCCTGGTCCACGAGCGTCCCTGATCCATGACCTTGTGTGGTCTAGGAGCTTGCCTGGTCCAGGAGCATGCCTGGTCCAAGAGCTTGCCTGGTCCTGTAGCTTGCGTGGTCCAGGAGCTTGCCTTGTCAAGGAGCGTGCTTGGTCCACGAGTTCGCCTGGTTTATGAGCTTGCCTGGTCTATGAGCTTGCCTGGTCTAGGAGCTTGCCTGGTCCAGAAGCTTGCATGGTCCAGGAGTTTGCCTGGTCCAGGAGCTTGCGTGGTCCCCTAGCGTGCCTGGTCCAGGAGCTTGCCTCGTCCAGGAGCTTTCTTGGTCTGTTAGCTTGCCTGGTCAAGGAGCTTGCCTGGTATAGGAGCTTTCCTGGTCCAAGAACTTGCCTGGTCCAAGAGCTTACCACGCAAGCTCCTGGACGAATCAAGCTCCTGGACCAGGCAAGCTCCTGGACCAGGCAAGCTCTTGGACCAGGCTCGCTCCTGGACCAGGCAAGCTCCTGGACTAGGCAAGCTCCTAGACCAGTCAAGCTCCTGGACCAGGTAAGCTCCTGGACCAGGCAAGCTCCTGGACCAGGCAAGCTCCTGGACCAAGGAAGCTCCTGGACCAAGGAAGCTCCTGGACTACGCATGCTCTTGGACCAAGCACGCTCCTGGACCAGGCAAGCTCTTGGACCAGGCAAGCTTCTGGACCAAGGAAGCTCCTGGACGAGGCAAGCTCCTGGACCAGGCAAGCTCCTGGTCCAGGCAAGCTCCTGAAACAGGCTAGCTCCTTGACCAGGCAAGCTCCTGGACGAGGCAAGCTCGTGGACCAGGCACGCTTCTGGACCAGGCAAGCTCCTGGACCAGGCAAGGTCCTGGACCAGGTAAGCTCCTGGACTAGGCACGCTTGTAGACCAGGCACGATCCTAGACCACGCAAGCTCCTGGTCCAGGCAAGCTCCCGGACCACGCAAGCTCTTGGACCAAGCACGCTCCTGGACCAGGCAAGCTTCTGGACCAAGGAAGCTCCTGGACTAGGCGAGCTTCTGGACCGAGGAAGCTCCAGGACTAGGCAAGCTTCTGGACCAAGGAAGCTCCTGGACCAGGCAAGCTCCTGGACCAGGCAAGCTCCTCCTCCACGCAAGCTCCTGGACCAGGATAGCTCCTGGACCAGGCAAGCTCCTGGACCAGGCAAGCTCCTGGACCACGCAAGCTCTTGGACCAAGCATGCTCGTGGACCAGGCAAGCTCTTGGACCACGCAGGCTTCTGGACCAAGCAAGCTCCTGGACCAGGCAAGCTCCTGGACCAGGCAAGCTCCTGGACCAGGCAAGCTCCTAGACAAGGCAAGCTTGTGGACTAGGCGAGCTCCTGGACCAGGCAAGCTCCTGGACCAAGCAAGCTCGTGGACC